ATTTTATTTGACCGAAGGAAGTGTCGGCAGTATATTCTCGAAGTTCAAGGAATCTTTCGGTTCGCATAAGATTACGATCCAAAGAGACCGATCAGACCTCATATCACTGGCAAATACTGACCAATTCGTGGGAATAGAGAGCGAGACGTTTGAGATTAACTCGCGGACATCCATTCCCATTTGGTTTATAGTGATACAGATAACAGCCAGTTGGGTGTGTTATGTGGTGGCAAAGTTCGCCTGCAAGATATGCATTCAAGGCTTCAGTTTCGCTTTTCCTATCAGTCTAACAGTTCCCGTCGCCATATCAGCACTGATTGCCTTCTGTGGCGTCCATTTCGACAATAAGTGCAAGATTTCCGACTTCTTGATACCGAAGTACTTGTTTTGGTACTGTAATGAAGAGCCATTCATTAGGGACGAGCCATTCTTCAACGTTCACGCAATCATGTGGTTGTTATGGCTGTTGTCGCAGACGTGGATCGCTATTCATATCTGGGCCCCGAAGTGTGAAAGACTGGCCACTACTGAGAAACTATTTGTAAATCCTATGTATTGTGGGGTTATTATCGACCAATCAATCGCTTTTAATAGAAGAAGGGATGACGAGGAAGAGATCAAAAGCGAAGACATCAATCTGGAAGCCGAGGGAACGACACTTCAAGATCCGTCACAGCAATGTATTGCGGGGTTATTATCGACCAATCAATCGCTTTTAATAGAAGAAGGGATGACGAGGAAGAGATCAAAAGCGAAGACATCAATCTGGAAGCCGAGGGAACGACACTTCAAGATCCGTCACAGCATTACGAGACGATTTCGGAGAATATGGACGACAAGAAGAAGTCGTCGACGTTTAGCTCGGATCAGATAATCCGTATCTACGCGTGTGCGACGATGTGGCACGAGACCGCCCAAGAGATGATCCAAATGTTGAAGTCTGTCATAAGAATGGATGAGGACCAGAGCGCCCGCAGGAATGCACAGAAGTATCTTCGGATAGTTGATCCCGACTATTATGAGTTTGAAGGTATAGATGATACAAAACTTGATCAGGGATACAAAACTTTGATCAAAAAACTAAATTTGAAAACTCCTTCTTTGGCTGAAAGTTCACATATTCTTTGACGACGCGTTTGAGTTATGCGACGACAACGACGAGGATATGGTTGTCAACCGATTCGTTAAGCAACTGATTGAAGTGTTAGACACGGCGGCCAGTAATGTGCACCAGTGCAATATTAAATTAAAGTTGCCAACTAAAGTGCCCACACCTTATGGGGGTCGACTGGAGTGGAAAATGCCCGGACAGAACAAACTGATCGCTCATCTTAAAGATAAATCTAAGATCAGACACAGAAAGCGCTGGAGTCAGGTATGGGTTATCATTACCGATAGCTCAGGAAATTGTAGCTAATTTTTGTCATTTACAGGTCATGTATATGTACTACCTTTTGGGGCACCGGCTCATGGAATTACCAATCGATGTGAATAGAAAGGCAGTTATGGCAGAGAATACTTATTTGTTGACTCTGGACGGGGACATCAATTTCAGACCACATGCCGTCCAACTGTTAGTAGATTTGATGAAAAAGAACCGAAACCTGGGCGCTGCCTGTGGGCGCATCCATCCCGTCGGCTCTGGGTTTATGACTTGGTATTAGTTCGAGACATCAATTTAATAGTAGTTTAGATCTCAATTTGGTTACATTTGGGACAGGTATCAGAAATTTGAGTACGCGATCGGTCATTGGCTTCAAAAGGCAACCGAACACATGATAGGCTGTGTATTGTGTAGTCCCGGGTGTTTCTCGTTGTTCAGGTAAACTTAATTCATTGCCAACTAAAGTGCCCACACCTTATGGGGGTCGACTGGAGTGGAAAATGCCCGGACAGAACAAACTGATCGCTCATCTTAAAGATAAATCTAAGATCAGACACAGAAAGCGCTGGAGTCAGGTATGGGTTATCATTACCGATAGCTCAGGAAATTGTAGCTAATTTTTGTCATTTACAGGTCATGTATATGTACTACCTTTTGGGGCACCGGCTCATGGAATTGCCAATCGATGTGAATAGAAAGGCAGTTATGGCAGAGAATACTTATTTGTTGACTCTGGACGGGGACATCAATTTCAGACCACATGCCGTCCAACTGTTAGTGGATTTGATGAAAAAGAACCGAAACCTGGGCGCTGCCTGTGGGCGCATCCATCCCGTCGGCTCCGGGTTTATGACTTGGTATTAGTTTGAGACATCAATTTAATAGTAGTTTAGATCTAAATTTGGTTGCATTTGGGACAGGTATCAGAAATTTGAGTACGCGATCGGTCATTGGCTTCAAAAGGCAACCGAACACATGATAGGCTGTGTATTGTGTAGTCCCGGGTGTTTCTCGTTGTTCAGGTAAACTTAATTCTACGACAGCACCAAAGTTTTACTCTTAATATTTAATAATAATAATATTTTTGTATTTTGAAATAATCTCTATATCAGAGCTAAAGCTTTGATGGATGACAATGTTATGCGAAGATATACGACCCGTTCCGATGAGGCCTTACATTACGTTCAGTACGATCAGGGAGAGGATCGTTGGCTCTGCACTCTTCTTCTACAAAGAGGTTTGAAATGAACTCAATATAAATGACTTCATTGTAATGAATATATAATTTTACGAATAGGCTATAGAGTAGAATATTCTGCCGCATCCGATGCCTACACTCATTGTCCCGAAGGTTTTGGAGAGTTTTATACACAGAGGCGTCGGTGGGCGCCCTCAACAATGGCTAATATTATGGATTTATTGGGAGATTATAAGAAGACAGTGAAAGTTAACGACAATATATCGCTGCCTTACATAATATACCAGGGCATGTTAATGATCGGCACAATTCTAGGTCCGGGAACTATATTCCTTATGCTTGTCGGCGCTCTGGTGGCCGCCTTCCGCATCTCAAATTGGGATTCATTTTATTTCAATATAATTCCGATTATATTCTTCATTCTGACCTGTTTTGTGGCCAAAAATGAAATCCAAATATTTGTGGCACAAATACTCAGCGCTGCCTATTGTCTACTAATGATGGCAGTGTTCGTGGGTCAGGCCATTCAGATGACAGAGGACGGTATCGGTTCCCCTTCAGCCATATTCTTCATATCACTGACCGGAAGTTTCATTGTGGCCGGACTTCTTCACCCGCAAGAGATGTCGTGTTTGGCACCGCTTTTGCTATACTTCCTGAGCATTCCCTGCATGTATTTATTGCTTATAATCTATTCGCTAATCAACTTAAATGTCGTGACGTGGGGTACGAGAGAAGTGCAGACAAAGAAGACTAAGAAGGAGTTGGAAGAGGAGAAGAATGCCACCGAAGAGCTCAAGAAGAAGAATTTGTTGAGTTTCCTGAATATGGGTGACAACCGGAAAGAGGAGGGGAGCATAACATTCAATTTGGCGAATCTCTTTAAATGCATGTTCTGCACGTATCCCAAACCCAATGAAGAGGCCATTCATTTGATCAAAATTCAGGATCAATTGGACTCAATTAGCACTAAACTGAACTCTTTAGAGAAGACCATCGATCCGAGCGCTCAGTCCAAGAGAACATCCATCGGAAGAGCGGCCCGATTCTCGGATAATCTCTCGACTGTTACCGAAAATGATGACGAAGAGGAGTTTGGATCAGAAACGTCGGACACAAATATGGACGACAAGGAGTCGGAGGGCAAACACGATAGGGACGACCTCTTGAATCCGTTTTGGATCGAAGACAAGGACCTGAAGAACGGAGAGGTGGCGTATTTGCATCCCTCGGAGATACAGTTCTGGAAAGACTTAATCACGAAGTATTTGTATCCAATTGAGCAAAACAAAGAGCATCAGGAAAGGGTTGCCAATGAACTCAAAGAACTTAGGAATCGAGTGGTGTTTGCATTCTTTATGCTGAACGCGCTCTTCGTTTTGGTCGTGTTTTTGCTTCAACTCAATAAAGAGATACTTCACGTCGATTGGCCCCTCGGTGTCAGAGAAAACATTACTATCAATCCGGACACAAATGAATACATTGTCGACAAAGAATACCTGGAACTCGAACCAATCGGTTTGGTATTTGTGGTCTTCTTTGGAACCATTCTTGTCATCCAATTCGTGGGAATGCTTTTCCATAGATTCGGAACTCTATCTCATATTTTAGGTTTGTTTTCATTTTTTGATTCAAATTTTTAACTAATATTGTATTCAATTAACTTAAAATTGTTTTCAATTTCAGCGTCGGTTGAGTTGACATTCTGTTCGCCTAAAGTGGAAGACGTTAGCGAAGACGATTTCATCGACAAGAATGCCATTCAGATTGCGAGACAATTGCAGAGACTTCGAGGAATAGATGAAGACGACAAGAGCGATGACTCCAAGTATGGAAATCGGGTGGAAAAGAGGAAAACAATATTCAATTTAGAGAAGCGTTTGCAACAACACCGCAGAATCGGAACACTGGACGTGGCCTTTAGGAAGCGATTCCTCAACCTATCCAATAATATGCCGACCGGAACACCCATTTTGGGTGGTATTCGCAATAAGGAGCAGATTATGGCTCTGGAAAGGCGACGAAATACGGTGATTGCCGGTGAGAGTCACGGCCGGCCAGGTATGCAAACACTGGGTGCCAAAAATGAATTCGTGCGAAACCAAGCAAGGTCCACTTTGGACTCTAAAAGGCCGCGAAATGGCATCGATATCAACGGCGGTCTTCACAACAGGGCTTATATGCAAGACTCGGACGAAGACGACCCCATGAATGAGAGGCCCATTAACTTAAATATTTATAGTCCCGGTTCGCGACACAGTGTGAACAGCTCTGTCAGCAAACGCCAGAGTCATAACTTATAATGTATTTTGTTTTATAGCCACAATTGGTTCAGATTTTTATGTATTTTTACAAATTTTAATATAAGACATCTTTTATGATAACTTCTTAAAAAACAATTTAATTAAAAACTTTTGTTCACTTTTCTAAAGAAACTGAATTTAATTCATCGTTCAAATCATCCAAATCTAAGTCGTCGTCGTCGGCGAAAAGTGTTTCATCGATTGGCGGGCTTTCTATCGTCTCGTCTTCACCACCTGTCGCGGCGATTGCTTCGGTAGTCTCGACGGGCACTTCAAACTCTCTTTTGACAATTTGCGTTCCCGTGCCGTCCGATGCCTTCGCTTCCGATATAAGAGCGTCTAAATTGATTTCTCTGACCACCAGTTCCTCGTCCTGCTCGTCATCACTGTCCCTAATGTGCACATAAGCGGCCTCTCCGTCCTCCATGTCCTCGTCGAGCGCCAAATCGGGATTAAATGTAAACATTTCTCGTCCGCTGAGGCCCACATTCTTTCCGGCTTTGAATTCCGCTTTCTTCCTCTCGTTCTCCTTCAGATCCCTGTCCGCCCTCTCCGTTAACTTCTTTTTCTTCCATTCGAGAAACGTTTCTAAAGTTATTTTCGTTAAATTATAGCCCAGTTTCGCCCTTTCGATCTCAACCAACTCCTCGATACTGATGTCGTCCTTCTTCTCCGCTCTCTTCCGGTCCTTATTTAAGACAAATCCCGGCGGAAGACAGTGTTTGTAATGGCATTGGTTTCCACCGTTAGGGCACTCCCAAAACCAGCCGTATTTACTCGTCTCCAGAGCTGTTCCACAAATGAGTCATATATTCAGTATTTATATAATTATAACTCAAACCCATTCCTCAATGAGCAGTGATTACCGTCGATGAAGTGCTTGCAGATGATGTCAGTGGTGGGCAACCCCTTCCTCTCGTTCTCCTTCTTCTCGACCACTTCTTTGAGCTTCTCGTCGTCCCAGTCATCCATAGTGTCCTCCTGTCGGGCGTCGACGTAGACGTTCTTCTTCTCGGACTTGCGCTCAACGGTCACGTCGTGACTGAACTTACATTTGTCTCCTTTCCCGCACTGACCCGACTTGAAGAAGGCGCACAACACCGACTTCGGGTCCACCCCTTTGTCCACCTTCTGTGCGGCCGTCACCGGACGGAACAAAGCGTTCAACTCTTCCAACTGCTTCTTCTTCTCCTCCTTCTTGACGACCGCTGTGTTCGGCGCTATTTCGCCCTAAAGTCACGCAAACACACCATTAATGGGACACTCAGTGGCGGATAAGTGGCGGCCAATCGTACCTTTTTGGGCAGACCCTGCTGTTTGACTTGATTCGCCACCTGTTGTATAAACTTCTGCTGTTTTGTTCCCTTTTTATTCTTCAGACCAAACGTCTTGTCCTATGGTTTCGCGACACAAGTCAATCAATAAATCAGCCAAAAGTGTGGCAAACAATCAATGGCTGAACGCATACCTCGATTATCTTCTCCTTCTTCTTGATCTCAGTCTTCTTACTCGCGCCCGAGTCCTTCTTCGGTGGCATTTTGGCTCTTCAGTTGTCTTTAGTATGCAAACAATTAAATCAAATCAAATGAATCCAGAAATTCAAATGCAATTCAAATGCAATTTAAATGAAAACAAAACATAAGTTTACGACTCAATGAAAAAATCGTGTTTTCAGTCATATATTCATTCGTATATTACGTGAATTAAAATCACACCATTTTTGGCGCTTATTTATTATTTGCCTATTGTTTACTCATTGCAATGCTTCCCACCCCTCATATTACACGCACGTTATTTGTGGAGTATTGGCTCATTGAACAAATAAGATAGTAAATATAGTTGTATTATGTGAATAGAGAGGGCATTATCGGTAGCAGAAACTACCTGTACACAACTTTACAACTTTACCAAGGCAAAAGTTGTAATTTGCCTGAACATTCATTATTCTTAATTTAAAATGCAAATTATAGGATGTACATGTAAATTTATTTAATATTATTATGTGACTTAATATTAAAATTAAAATTGTTTGTATAAAAGTTGTGCAATACCGGTAAGAAAGTCAAAAGCCAGTGTATAATAAAATCTCAATTTTTATTAAATTAATATTATATTATATTAAATAATATATCAATAAAGTGCTTTTTATGCACTTGATCATTGAACTTATATGACCAGGTTGTTTGTAGGTTGCTAATGAACCATATTACATAACTTATAGATTAGAAGATAAACTTTTATTGTTAGTAAAACTGAATTTATTAATAAATAATTCATATCCAGACTGCGAGCACTTCCGATCAAATCCAATGCCTTCTTAATGGATAAGACAAAAGTGATTAAAGAGTATAGTTTTGCCCTGATTATATTTATAAATTATTTAGATTTCGTGTAATGTTATGCAGATTTTATTAATTCTCGTATATTATAAAGGTTATTGTACTTTTTATAGTTGATAAAATTAGTATTTTATGTATAAGCTGGCTGAAAAACAAATAACCTGGTTGCTGTTAGTCTAGTAAACCTAGTAATTTGATGAGGAATTTATTGACAATTTTGATTTGCAAATGAAATAATTGCTGTGTCATGGTAATAATGGTAATAATGGCAATAATGGTAATAATGACAAATAAATATAGACAGCGGATATAATTAGATTTGAGTCTCAATGTAATCGCATATATAGTGTCGTATTGTGTTTAGTACTTAAAATCTTGCATAAAATGAGCTAATATTTCCAAATGTATGAGTATTTAAGCGATTGTTTTATTTGTGAAATGCTTATCGCATCGCTTTAGGGCTAATGTATAGAAAAGTCAATGTTTGAGAATTGGCTTAAAATTGACACAACAATGCATTGAAATCCAATTATTTAGATCTCGAGTGCGATATATCAGTCAAACTCTGGTATTTTATTACGGAATTATTATTACCATAAATGTTATGAAGTTATGGATTGCAGTGCAATGCCTGTGCCCTCAGTTCGGACTCCCTGTCAGACATAAAAGTTGTGTTGCAGTCAAATGAAGTGACTTTTTATCTGCTTTTCTACGGAGAAAAGTGCAATCACTTGGCATCCCTGTTCCCATCCCTGTTCCCACCCCATCACTGGTGGTGCTGCTAAGTTACTAACTCTCATACACCTAACAGTGAACATTGGGATACACGGCTCTCTATGACCAGGACACTTTATAGTGCAAGTGTCCACTTGGCACTTGGTGGTCAAGTCCATGATAGTAGGCTGTGCGGGGACAGACCACCCTGATTGGTGTGTGAGCCCATGGCTGTGATGTATGTCCGGACACTGATTGCATGTTTAATTCGTCACAGACTTCACTCCATACAAAAGAAGTGAAGATGAATGCAATGGTTTGCCAAATGCCTCCCTATATCTACCAGTGCTATATCTACCAGTGCTATAGTCACTGGCCATTGTCAATGCCATTGAATATTTCGCGTATAGCTATTGCTTACAGTGGAAGCTGTACTCAATATACGTGTAGTAAAGACATGTGTTGGTAGTGTTGGGCTCATGTACTGTATGCACAGGTATATGCAGGTAGAGAGGTATAGATATTAGGCAAACCTGGTGTGTGGTCGGCCAGAGCTGTGGCACTGGAACTCCTCTTCTTAGCGACTCACTGGCAGTGACTGCAACTCCACTGATTGCCGGCTTATTTAAAAATTATAGGGTCTTCATAATGGAGTGAATAAAAAACAGGAATTCATTTCACCTGAGAGTGAATTAATGTTTGTAATCATTTCAATGCATTACACACTACACACACACACACACATACAGACACACACCTCAACACGAAAAGGCTTTTCATGTTATTTATAGGCTCTCATACATGAATCGATATGTAAGATACACGCATACATAGCACAGGCATTACCTGCACAGGTATTACCTGCACAGGTATTACCCACACAAGTAGACACATGAGTGCACAGCAGAGGTGAGAGTTGGGAACAGTTCAACACTAATAGAGATATTAAGCGGCTTTTCGTTCACCAAAAGACAACTTAGATGTGGGTCTCTCTGCTTCATACATACGGCTAAATGTGGTGTAATTACTACTAACGCACATACAGTTCCTTATACTACATACACATCCATCCAAACGCCAAACACTATTATTATTCACTGCTCTTCAATAGAAAGACGATTTAATTAGAGAAAAGGCCAGACCTGCCAGTGCTCGCAGTGCACCGGCATCTGCACACCAAACCAACACTCTATACAAATACCAATACATTCATAACAAATCTTAACCAACATACCATCAATTACCAAGGTGTTCTCAATATTCATTATTTCACTTCATTCACATGTATTGTATGCATGAGTATATATTTTACAAACTCCCGGCCCCTTCAGGTGCCTCAGCACTGGTCATCACTGCATTAGATGTTATGGTAAATAATAGTCTTTCTAATTGAATATTAGATAAATTATTATTTATGATATATAAGTATATTTCCAAATGTTTATGCATTCATTGGTTCATTCAATTCATTGATTGCAATAGTGGTGCCAAACAATACTGTAGTGCACTCTCCACTCAATGCAATCAATGGCTAAGAGTTTGTGGAATAAAGAGAATCCTATATAAAAAATGTGAGTCTTGTGTGGATATAAGAGAATAGAGTAAAGTATAGTATATTCTGTGCATAGAGTGTAGAGTTGGGTATAGTTTACGACAGTTAATGCTCTGCTATTGATATAAATGTCGAGAATTCCATCCATAATAGGAACAAATGTTTCCCTCTTTTAGACACAAATCTATTCAATCGATGAATGATTCAAATGTAAAGATTTTTAAGTGACAACAACATTATCCCTCAAATTATTACACATCATTGGCCTAAACACTTGGGGATTAAGCGTTTGTTCCAATCAATAGATATGTTACACTGACATGGCTTACATGGCTTACCACGGCTTGCCATGGGTTGTATGGGTTGGGAGCTATTTGTTATTCAAGTGCACAGAAACGTATCTAATTGAATGCTAAACTCAGTGAACAACCACCAGATAATGTACACATAGTAGTAGTATATGAATATATTTGATGTTTCACATTTTAAAACAAACCGGTACAAATGATTTGCATTAGTAGTTATTTATTCTTGTTCGGTAGTGATTACAATTTTAGTAACTTAAAAGTAACTTAAATAATTTATGCATTCAGTTTTACATTTATTTCATTACCATATTCTTGTAGCTTATTATTAATAATTCTGGTCATGTTATGTGTTTCACTCATTTTAAAATCATTAAAATTTTAATCGTTACAAAATAATTTTATAATTACTTTATAATTCAGTCAACCTTGTTTTTGGCCATACATGAGTAATTTTATAGAAAATCATTTAATGCTAATTTTAAGCTTTTTAATTTGAATTCAAATCTTGATTCTCATACAATGTATAAAAATTTGTTGCACAGAATAAATGCATTGAATGAAGTTTAAATTATAATTGTACTTACAAGGTATTTTTGTTGTTAATCACATGAAAAATTTATTGAAAGATTATTACATACCGTATAACAATTATTAAAATTCTTGAACAACGTTTTAATATAAAGTGCATACAAATAAGAAAAGAAATTTTAAAAAATCAGATCAAAAATGTAATGAATGCCATTAAATGCAGCATGCAACACACAATTTAATCCAATTGTTCTCAAAAGAAATAAATTGTTTAAATGTATTTTTGAAAATAATTGAAAATATAGGATATTCTTGGTTTCCAATGAGATAAGCGCTGGGAGCGGGAAATGCTGTGCAGAGCTGCCAGTGCCTGTGCCTACCTGTGCGCAACACTTGAATATCGCTGCCAAACATACACAACCTCTGCTGCCGGTTCTCTTGTGTTTGAGACCACCACCGACTGACTCGTTCCCCAACTTTGTTATCATTTATTCTGTGAGCACTCATCGACAGACATCCCCAACGGAGTGACAATTACTTTTACAATAGTTTTTATTACACAAAAGTTATGAAGTTATCAATGTATATGACCACTACGTTTGGAAATGAATAGTGTGTGTTTTTGTCAATTAATAAAGTTTTTCATTTTAATTAACATGTTTAGCTCTATATTCATATATCGATCGCTGAGATTTGAAGTATGGAGACAATGTTAATGTGCAACACTATGGCAATGCAAATAATTAGTATTATATGGAAAGTAATAAAGTGATTGAAAAGTTTGTCAACTTCCAATAAGCAATATACGTGTAATTGATTTTGAATTTGAGTATCGATTCAAATGATTTAAACAAATATATTGTAAACTGAAGACGAAGTGAATTCGAGACAAGAATTCCTAATAAATATCATCTCAAGAGTTCTTGTTGTGAAGAAATGTTCAAAATGTGCTAAAAGTTTATGAGACTTTTGTTGACTTTATATTTAACTTTTAGAAAAAGTAATATAAAAACTGGAGAATAATATATCGTAAAAGAATATACAGTATACTGTAGTGAACAGTGGATATCATACAGTATACTGTACTGTGAATAGTATTGTTTTGTAGTGTAATGAAAGGTATGGTTAGTGGATGTGTGGGGAGAGAGAGACCAAACTAACTAATTTATTAAATGTTAGTAATGTCTCGACCGGTCAACGCCTAAATCTATTCACACATAAGCGCTAAATATTAGACAAAATTTTACGTCTCCTATAGTTTTTCACTGAATTCGAGACAAGAATTCCTAATAAATATCATCTCAAGAGTTCTTGTTGTGAAGAAATGTTCAAAATGTGCTAAAAGTTTATGAGACTTTTGTTGACTTTATATTTAACTTTTAGAAAAAGTAATATAAAAACTGAAGAATAATATATCGTAAAAGAATATACACTGGATATACAGTACATTGTAGTGAACAGTAGATATCATATACTGAACAGTGGATTATATTGTATTGTATTGTAGTGTAATGTACCAGTACAGTAAGGTAAGGTATGGTTAGTGGATGTGTGGGGTGAGAGAGAGAGAGAGAGAGAGAGAGAGAGAGAGACCAAACTAACTAATTTATTAAATGTTAGTAATGTCTCGACCGGTCAACGCCTAAATCTATTCACACATAAGCGCTAAATATTAGACAAAATTTTACGTCTCCTATAGTTTTTCACTGCTTTCACAGCGATTGTTATATTCATTAAGACTGTGATGTGTTTAACAGTGAAATGATTTGAAACAAAATAAAGAGACAATTGTTTGGAATTAATTCTAATCTCAAAAACCAATAATAAATAAGTTATGTTTCATTGCTTGACATTACTCTTAAAAGCATTCAATGAATCGCTTTAATGAAATGATTTGAAACAAAATAAAGAGACAATTGTTTGGAATTAATTCTAATCTCAAAAACCAATAATAAATAAGTTATGTTTCATTGCTTGACATTACTCTTAAAAGCATTCAATGAATCGCTTTAATGAATAAAATATCCCTGACAGAATTGCTGTTAATTTTGTGACAAAGTTTGTAGCGTCTAATCTACAAAAAGTTTTGATTATTCGGTCTCGATATTTGTTTAAATATTATATCAAGTAATGGAAAAACACTTAATTATAACAATAATTTGGATACTATTAGAGATTACGTCTCAAATAAGTTCAGCACATTTATGGTAAGTAACAGAATGATAATATTTTGTATTATTTATATGATTTTTGAGTATAATAACAATGAGATGAACATATTATTAAATGTTTAAACAATTAAATAGACAAAAGAAGCTTGTTTTTTGACGTATAAAACAATTAACTAGATATTTAATTACAGTATAAGTATAATATTACATTACAGAAACATATATTTAACTTTTTCTTACGAGTTTGAAAAGTTTGTGAATAAATCAAAGCCTTATTCCTAGGAATAAAGTTTTTATAAACATTAGCAATATATTGTATTATATTATATTATACTAAATTATATGTAATGAGATAAATGATAGAATAATTGAATCTTTTGTCAAACTCAACACCATTTGATGTAAAATGAAATGAATTATTTGAAAGCCTTGTGCTGTAAAGCAATAGCACTGATGTTGTAATTGAATCACTTATAGGGCGACCGCACACTCGGAAGACCCCAGTAATCATGTGATAGACCCGCGACACAAGAACTCAATAACGGGCCGACAATATAATGAAATTAATGTAAACCTACGTAAGAAACAGCGCCGTCTGGTCAGAGATAATCCGGGTGTTCTGAAAGCGTTAGCAAAGGCCAAGAAAATGGCAATTAATGAGTGCCAGAATCAGTTCAAAGACAGGCGTTGGAATTGTCCCACAACTGACTATATGAAAGGCAAAAGTATTTTTGGCAAAATTATTCAGAAAGGTATTCACTTTCTTGACTTTTCTAATTGCAATGAAAGTGTCGCCAAAAACTATGTGTTATTTACGTATTTAGCGTCTGATTACTAAATCAAATAATTATTGACAAATGTCTCCAATATTCTCACTATCGAGTCATATCCTCTAAAAAAGTCATTTAAATTAACATTTATTTTATTAAGTGATCGATAGATTTATTAGTAAATAATTTAAGACTTTATAAATAAAAATAAATTTATTTGAAATTATGTTTTTAAAGTAAAAATAAATATTTAGCAAAACTTAGAGAAAGAATAACTTATTTGCCGTTTTATGTCAAGAGTTTGTTTGTCTCACATTTTAGAGATGAGAATAGACTTAAACTTATCGCAGAATTTTCAAACATCACAAAACATTGCAATTGTGTTTTGAATGAAAATATTGTTTTAATAGAGTTGTGTGTTTAGTATAATGTGATTAAATATAAAATAATATTTGTTAGGGTGCAGAGAGACGGCATTTGTATACGCGATCACGAGTGCGGCGGTGGCACATGCCATAGCCCGGGCCTGTAGTGAAGGTAAGCACATATTGACGTTTATATGGTTTATGGCAATTACACTGTCTGTTGACTGAATACCCCGATGTGTTATGTGTTAGGTTTGATCGAGACGTGTACGTGTGACTACAGAAACAACCGGCGCCCCAATGGTCTGGACTGGGAGTGGGGCGGGTGTTCCGATAACATAGAGTTCGGCTATAAGTTCGCCCGGGCTTTCGTCGACGCGGCCGAGAGGGGCCGAGACCTCCGATTCATTATGAATCTCCATAACAACGAAGCCGGCCGTCTGGTGAGTCTGTCCTACCTGTATATCTACCTGTATCAATATCCACAATCACTACCTGTATATCTGTTTGTTATAAATGTGTTTTTACTATCAATCGCGAGGTTTTACATGTTATCAAAACTAATCGAAAGCCAAACAAAGTTTAGTTTTCAAGAAAAATGACAATTATATCATATAATGCATTCATATATTGTCAATGTATTCAGAGAGCGAGGGGGACCGGGAGGGAGAGTGTGTTAGCTACAGGTTATCATAAGTGATATCTCATATTCACTGCATAAGAGGTAAACTCGAAAAGATTTTAACGAAAATTCACAGCATTTACTGTACAGACAAACAATTTAATGGATTGCAAACATTTTAAAGTCGAAATGTATGGGAAGCTACTTATGTATTGGACAGGGAGCACNGGATTGCAAACATTTTAAAGTCGAAATGTATGGGAAGCTACTTATGTATTGGACAGGGAGCACATGGAGTATATACTCAGTGAATACATGTTTCCTGTTGAGTACCACAAAGAGAAGACTAACGATCCAAACACTAAAAACACTGTTTGTATATATACTGTAGTATTAGTTTGAAAAACTTTTATGACGACTAAGAAGTGTCATAATAAGGACTGGATATGACGTTAAATGTAGGCATCGCTGGCACTACTGGTTATGCCTACGCTCTGTGCTCTCTGTGCTCTCTCTCTCTCTCTCTCTCTCTCTCTCTCTGTCCGTCCGATGGCTTATCGACTCTGCAATTAGCGAAACGATGCAATTAGTAGGACCCGAACCGTGCGATTCAATGCGCGTATAATTACTATATCTCTCCAACAAATACATTATTGTGTGA